AAGTCATCCACCCACTTTGGTCTCCCAAAGTGCTGGAATTCCAGGCGTGAGCCACTGTGCCTGGCCTTCTTTTGTTTTTTTATTTTTTATTTTTATTTTTTGACAGTGTCTTGTTCTGTCACCCAGGCTGGAGTGCAGTGATGCAATCATAGCTCACTGCAGCCTTGAACTCCCGGGCTCAAGTGATCCTCCTGCCTCAGCCTCCTGAGTAGCTGGGACTACAGGCACGTGCCACCATGCCCCGCTCATTTTTTACTTTTTTGTAGAGATGGGATCTTGCTATGTTGCCCAGGGTGGTCTCAAACTCCTGGCCAGAATCCATCCTTCTGCCTCAGCCCCCCAAAGTGCTGAGATTACAGGCATGAGCCACCACGCCTGGTCCCAGTAAATTCATTTCAAATGTATCTGACCTATACAGAAAGAACATGATAAAGAGATAGCATTCACTTGTTTTCACTTGGCACTAAGCAAAGTCCACAGGTGTTGTCTTCCAGGGGCAAGGGACGGGATCTGTGCGTATTCTCACTTGTGATTCATCATATGACTATGTAGCCGTGTCTGGTTTCTCTTTAGGGTGGCATTTGGCTTTTTCAGCAAGCTCCTATTAAACTGTAAATGAACTAAATAAACACAATGCTGCTTCACTTGGCCATCGCTATGTCAGGATCTCTTCATGAAAGACGAACAGCACAGAGTTAGAATTCAAATACTCTACAAGAGGGATAATACTGGGCCGGGTGGTGGCTCACCCCTGTAATCCCAGCACAGTGGGAGGCCGAGGCAGGCGGATCACTTGAGGTCAGGAGTTCCAGACCACCCTGGACAACATGGTGAAACTCCATCTCTACTAAAAATGCAAAAATCAGCTGGGTGTGGTGGCGGGTGCCTGTAATCCCAGCTACTTGGGAGGCTGAGGCAGGAGAATTGCTTGAACCCGGGAGGCAGAGGTTGCAGTGAGCTGAGATCAAGCCCACTGTACTGGATGACACAGCCGTCTTGAAGAAAAAAAAAAAAATGTGTAGCCCAGGATGCTCAAGGGTGGGGCTTTCTCAACATTCCCACCATCCTCATGGCAAACCCCTGGATCGTAGAGGGATTCTGCTTCTCTTTCTCCTGCTTTTTTGCATTTGAATTTGGATTCCTGGGTTTTGTTTCTACCCCTCCCCTGGCAGCAATAGATCTTTGCCCATTCCCTGAGACAGAGGGAATTTACTGCTTTTGCTTTCTTTCTTTCTTTTATTCTTTCTCTCTCTCTCTCTTTTTTTTTTTTTAGCGGCGAGTCTCCCTCTGTTGCCCAGGCTGGAGTGCACTGGCTTGATCCTGGCTCACCGCAGCCTTTGCCTCCCAGGTTCAAGCAATTCTCCTGCCTCAGCCCCCAAGTGGCTGGGACTATAGGTGTGCGCCATCACACCCAGCTAATTTTGTGTTTTTAGTAGAGACAGAGTTTCACCATGTTGACCAGGCTGCTCTCGAATTCCTGGCCTCAGATGATCTGCCTGCCTTGGCCTCCCAAAGTGCTGGGATTACAGCCATGAGCCACCGCACCTGGCCTGCTTTTTTAGAAGAGAAGGGTCCAGAGGAAGCAGGTGGGGTCTGCGCCTGTTCCTGAGCAGCTAGATGCCTACCCCACAGAAAGGTCTCTCTCCAGGCTCTTTGCCAGTCCCCATCTTCCAATACGGTTGCTGGTGGAGGTTTATTAAAAAGGGCTTATGAATGAGTGTGAACTCCCTTTGTATCTGAGGCCCCCAGCTAGTCCAAACTCACATGCCAACCTATACTTGGCCTTTAAGACTTAATTAAAATTATAGCGGATTTCCTGTTGCCAACTAGGTTGGCAGTAATCTCTTTCTCCTGTGCTCTGCCAAAGGTGAAGGCGTTCTTGTGTTCTGTCTTTGGAGAGGCTTCTCTTGTCTCTCTCTCTTTGGCACTGAGGTTACTTGGTTGCCTTGCAACCTCAGCTTTCTGATGGGCTCAACAGAAGTTACAATTTGGTAGATTATCCAGCTTTTCTCATTATGATATTGGGAGTGATAGCCTTTGTAGCTTTCTACATTCTAAGCCCATTCCACAAATCTTTACTGAATGCATACTATGTGCCAGGCATTCTAGGTGCTGGGGATAAAGAAGTAGAAAAAACAGGCTGAGCACAGTGGCTCACACCTGTAATCCCAGCACACTAGGAGGCCAAGGTGGGTGGTTCACTTGAAGGAGTTTGAGACCAGCCTGACCAACGTGGTAAAACCCCGTCTCTACTAAAAATACAAAAATTAGCCAGGTGTGGCGGCAGGCGCCTGTAGTTCCAGCTACTCAGGAGACTGAGGCAGGATAATTGCTTGAATCCAAAAGGCAGAGGTTGCAGTGAGCTGAGATTGCGCCACTGCACTCCAGCCTGGGTGACAAAGCAAGACGGTCTCAAAAAAGAAAAAAAGTAGAAAAAATAGATCTGATTTCGAGAAATTTATATTCAATTGAGGAGAGGCAGATACAAATAGATAGAATATTGTATTTTATAATATTAGATGCTAATAAGTTCTATGAAGAACACTTAAGCAACTGACAGATAAGACAACTATAGTGTATTGGCCAGGTGTGGTGGCCCACGCCTATAATCCCAGCTCTTTGGGAGGCCAAGGTGGGCAGACCACCTGAGGTCAGGAATTCGAGACCAGTCTGGACAACATGGTGAAACTCCGTCTCTACTAAAAATACAAAAATTAGCCAAGTGTGGTGGCACGCGCCTGTAATCCCAGCTGCTCGGGAGGATGAGGCAGGAGAATTGCTTGAATCCAGGAGGCAGAGGTTGCAGTGAGCCAGGATCGCACCACTGCACTCCAGTGAGACTCCTCAAAAAAAAAAAAAAAGTAGAAAACACAGATTTGATTTCAATATATATCTATATTTTTTGTTTGTTTGTTTTTGTTTTTGAGACAAAGTCTTGCTCTGTCGCCTAGGCTGGAGTGCAGTGGTGTGTTCTCGGCCCACTGCAACCTCTGCCTCTCAGGTTCAAGTGATTCTCCTGCTTCAGCCTCCTGAGTACTTGGGGTTACAGGTGCCCACCACCATGCCTGGCTAATTTTTGTATTTTTAGTAGAGACAGGGTTTCACCATGTTGGTCAGGCTGGTCTTGAACTCCGGACCTCATAATCCACCCACCTCGACTTCCCAAAGTGCTGGGATTACAAGTGTGAGGCACTACACCTGGCCAGAAGTATGTATTCAATTGAGAGCGAGATACAGAGAGATAGAATATTATATAGTATAGTATTAGATGCTAAATTCTATGAAGAACACTTAAGCAACCATAGTGTATAAATGGTACCTCCTACCCCTTCCTCCCCTATTCATGCAGATACTGTCTATAATTTACTGCTTTTTTTTTCTCCTCTCCTCAGGGATCTCTATGGTGGAGAACGGGCTAGACTGCCCTACTCTGTTAATAGAACTTAGTAAGATTTCAGCTCCAAGTAGTAAATGGGACCGTCATTCCCATTCCCATCAGGAAGGATAGGACTGCTGCTCATAAACATGCCAGGTATTCTGTATAAGGCCAAACTAGGACCTGGTGGACACAAAGCACAGGTGTTATACTTCGACTCAATACAGGAAGAACTTTCAAACCGTCAGAGCTGCCTGCAAAAGTAATGTACTTTTCTGGAAGGTAATCGACTTCCTTTTCTTGGAAAAGTTGCAGCTTTGGGTTTATAAGTTACATTGTTTGCAAGCTCCCAACTGCCCCTGAGGGTATCTAAGCAGATGGGTGGAGTGTACATTTCCTGACTTCTAACAGTAGAAAGGCTCGACAGCCCTAGGAAGCTGCTTGCCTGTGCTACTCAGCACTGATTCTTTCATTTCTTCGTACAGATGAATAAACCATGCTTTATTTTATTTTTTTGAGACAGGGTCTTGCTCTGTCGCCCATGCTGGAGTGCAGTGGCGTGATCTTGGCTCACTGCAGCCTCGATCTTCTGGGCTAAAGCGATCCTCCCACCTCAGCCTCCCCAGTAGCTAGGACTACAGGCCCATGCCAGCATGCCCAGCTAATTTTTGCATTTTTTTTTGTAGAGACGGGGTTTCACCATATTGCCCAATCTGGTCTTGAACGCCTGAGCTAAAGTGATCCTCCCACCTCAGCCTCCCAAAGTGCTGGGATCATAGGCATGAGCCACTGAGCCTACAAATAAACCATGCTTTAGGGAAGGTAAGTGTCTTGACCAAGGCCACAGAGCTAGGAAGCAGCTGGCTGAACTGGGATTGAGGCCAAGGTACTGTCTTTGATGCCAAAACCTGCTATCCTTCCTCACTATCACCCAACCTCTTCCCAGTGGCTCCACACCCATTGTGGTGACAGAGGCACCTTCTGTTGAGTGTAAACTCTTCTGGCCGGAATTGTTTCCGAGAGTAGGGTGCAGCCCCGAGGGCTGGGGTTAAAAGTCAAGCTTCTCATCTGGACTCATTAGTTCTGACTGAGCACTTCTGCCTCAACCCGCACCGCTACCTCTCCATGAACGTGACACAAAAACCCTTGGTTTCAGAAAGCCAGTTTCCAGGCAAAGAAAGCTTTCCACCCAGGGCCTGGAGTGAGCTGAGGGCAAGAACAAAGAGAGTCGGGCGCGGTGGCTCACGTCTGTAATCCCAGCACTTTGGAAGGCCGAGGTGGGTGAATCACCTGAAGTCAGGAGTTAGAGACCAGCCTGGGCAACATGGCGAAACCCCCGTCTCTACTAAAAATACAAAAATTAGCCGGGCGTGGTGGTGGGCGCCTGTAATCCTAGCTACTGGGGAGGCTGAGGCAGGAGAATTGCTTGAACACGGGAGGCGGAGGTTGCAGGGAGCCGCAATCGCGCCACTGCACTCCAGCCTGGGGGACAGAGCGAGGCTCCGTCTCAAAAAAAAAAAAAAAAAAAGGAAGGCGACCAGCTAACGTCCGGCGTCAAGGCGCGCGAGCCCTCCATCCGTCTGGTGCCAAAAGATGGCGCGTGGGCCCCTTCCCCTGCCTCTGATATTTCCATGGAAGCAGCCGGTTAGGCGAAATGGCGATCGACCAGACTAAAGGTTGGCGGATCCTATGGCAGTGCGCCTGGCAGCCAGCCACACCCGGGACCGGCTTCGCCCAGCGCTAGGGGCGTGGAGCCGCGCCGCGAATGGCGCGTGAGCCTCCTGCGCACGCGCGTGCAGCGTCCGGGATCCGGCCAGCCGCGCGGCTGAAGCGAGGGCGGGGAGGGAAAGCGAGCGGCGCCTGCGCCCCGGCGGTGAGCGGGCCCAGTCGTGGGCGGGGCTTGGGGCGGAGCCTGACCGTCACGCGCAGCACCGCCCCCGCGGCCTCGTAGCTCCTGCTGAGGCGGCAACCGCTCTTCGTCGGTCCTTACCGGTTGGCTGGGCCAGCAGTGCCCGGCTCTCAGCTGACGATGGGGGACCCCAGCAAGCAGGACATCTTGACCATCTTCAAGCGCCTCCGCTCGGTGCCCACTAACAAGGTAGCGGCCGTGAGCGAGTGCGGGCCTGCCTGCCATCCTTGCGGGAACCGGCGGGCGGCCCCTGCGGGCGCCAGTGGCCGTGGCGTGGGAGGCGGGGCCGGCGCGGCCTGTGACACGTCGCACTGTGGGGCCGCGGCAGCCTGGCCGGGACGGGGCGGGCGGGGCTGGGCAGCTGGGAGGCCCGAGCGGGAGACCGGAGCGCGGGGGTCCTCACGCGGGCCAGGGATCGTTCCCGGGGCGGCGGCGAGGGCACACCCTCCAGCGAGCTCTTGGGGCGGGGGGCGAGCACCGGGGGCTCTGAGCGGGGGCGGGGTCTTCCTGGGGGCGCTGGGAGGAGGGGGCTCCCGGCTCAGAAACCCCGGCTGCTGGCGCCAGATGCGGGGAAAGCGCGGTTCCCCCGGCGCCACCCTGGAGCTCGACCCCGCCTGTTGGAGCCGGCTAGACTCCTCGGGCCTTGCGGTGCCTGCCTCAGTTTCTCTTCTGATAAAGCTGCCGAGTAGTCTCCGCTCTGGCTTCCAGCTTTTGTGGCTTTGGCCAGGGAGGTTCACCACAGCCTCCTCCCTCCCCTCGGCTCTCTTTGGAGATGGGGGTTTTCTTTTTTTTTGTCTCCAGAGACTGTTCTCTCCTTGGAACTTTTATAGCTTTGCGCAGCTGGCTGGAGGTGTTGGGGTGACGCAGGGGGCTAAGGTGACAAGTCGGGTTGGAGAGGGACCTGGAGAGTGCAAAGGGCTGTTGCGTCAGCGTGGACTCTCCCCGCCCCTCCGGTGACACGAGTTTTGTCTGGTCCCCACTGTCACTTCCGAAGGGAACAGCTGTTACTGAGCATGGTCCTGAACCTCAACATGCTGGCATAGGAAGTGTTATAAGTGTTTCTGTTGGTTTTAAGTCTTGATGGTACAGGGGAGCCCATATTTTTTCCAGCCTAGGTGAGGAAGGAAACAGTTTATTGGGGTTGATGTCTGATGGATATGGGAAAGTTAAGAGAAAGGCTCCAGGAATTCTCCAGTGTCCATTTCTTCATTGTTTTCTTGATTTTCACATTTTTATTTATTTATTTTTTTACAGACAGGGTCTCACCCCGTCACCCAGGCTGAAGTATAGTGAAGTGTCTTGATCCTAGTTCACTGCAGCCTTGACCTACCCAGCCCAAGCCATCCTTTCTTCCCAGCCTCCTGATAAGGCTGAGACCACAGGGTTGCACCACCATACCCAGCTAATTTTTATTATTAATTAATTTATTTATTTTTGAAGAAACAGGGTCTTGCTATGTTGCCCAGGCTGGTCTCAAATTCCCGGGCTCAAGCAGTCCTCCTGCCTCCCCCTGCCTTGGCCTCCCAGAGTGCTAGGATTATAGGCATGAGCCACCATACTGGCCTTAATTTTCTTTCTTTCTTTATTTTTTTAATGTTTTAATTTTAATTTTTTTGAGACAGAGCCTTGCTCTGTCGCTCAGGCTGGAGTGCAGTGGTGCGATCTCAGCTCACTGCAGCCTCTGCCTCCTGGGTTCAAGCAATTCAGCCGCAGCCTCCTGAGTCACCAGAATTACAGGCATCCACCACTACACCCAGCTACTTTTTGTATTTTTAGTAGAGACGAGGTTTCACCATGTCGGCCAGTCTGGTCTCAAACTCCTGGCCTCAAGTGATCCACCTGCCTTGGCCTCCTAAAGTGCTGGGATTACAGGCGTGAGCCACCGCGCCCAGCCTTGGTTTTTAAATTTATATTGATGTGTTTATGAAGAGTGGGTCCTGTATAACTAGACAAGATTAGGATCTGCGGTTAGCAATGTGTAAACGATATATTTTTTGTCACCTTTATCTCAGAAACATCAACATGTATTCTCTTTGATTTAATTCAAAGATAATTTTAAATAAGAAGTCAATGTCTTTATATCAAGAGGCTTTTGAGAGACAGGCTTGTATGGTCCAAACTGCTACTTTCTAGGTATGTCACCCTTGGACAGGTTACTTGACCACTTTGTCCCTTTTTTCCTTATCTGAAAATGGGGCATGAACTGGACCTAAATCAGAGGGTGATTGTGAAGATTAAATGGAATAATCCAAGGAAAACACTTAACAGTAGGAACTGCATATAATAGTCTTCAATAAATGGCAACTGTTTTTATTATGAAGAACACACCTATGAAAAAGTTTATATTCTGTAATAAGATTAATAAAAGCAGTGATCAGAAATGTTTTCTGGTAATGTTTTCCAGTAATGTGCTATATTTCTTGGTTGAGACCTTGTATTTGATCACTGGTTTGAAACCCTTACCTAAAAGACAACAATAGCGTTTTAAAATTGGGGTTATAAAAGAGAACTCTAAGATACATGAGCCGGGAGAGGTAATCAAAGAAAAACAAGTTGGCTTACTTTTAGAATGTGGTATCCAATTTCTTCCTCTCATGTGTGATGACTTACTCTGGATGAAAGGTCATGAGGGTCAATTTTCTTTTTCTTTCTTTTTTTTTTTTTTTTTGAGACAGTCTAGCTTTGTTGTCCAGTCTGGAGTGCCATGGTGCCATCTTGGCACACTGCAACCTCCTCCTCCCAGGTTCAAGAGATTCTCTTGCACCAGCCTCCTGAGTAGATGGGACCACAGGCGTGTGCCATCAAGCATGGCTAATTTTTGTATTTTTAGTAGAAATGGAGTTTCACCATATTGGCCAGGCTGGCCTCAAACTCCTGACCTCAAGTGATCCGCCTGTCTCAGCCTCCAAAGTGTTGTGATTACAGGCGTGAGCCACTGCACCTGGCCAAGGGTCAATTTTCTAGTTTGTGAAATCCTTCTTTGTTGCTATACCATTCCTTACTTTTATATAGATTGGGTTATTCATTCAACAAGTATTCCTCAAGCCCCTATGGTATGCTGGGCACTGTGTATAGCATTAAAGGTATGTACACTGATGGTATGTTCCTGTCCTCTGGGAGCTTACAGTCTAGTGGATGGATGAAGGGCAGGACAGCAGGTGGTGTGTTTTCTGCTCTGAAGCACAGTGTGGTGGAGCGGGAAGAGTGGCTCGGGTAACAGACTGCATGGGATCCAGTCCCCACTCTGGACATTTCCACTAAGGAATTACTAAGAAGTGGCCACTTCTTATCTGTCATACTTAATTCAGTAATTCCTTAGTTTTCTCTAAAATAGAGATCAAGATTTACTGCCGCCATCCCACACCCGGAAGGACTCCTCATGCTCTCTGCAGCATGGTGCTTCTGTCGCTTACAGAACAACTTGCCTTTGATGATTTTCAAGAGAGTTGTGCTGTGAGGTGGCAAAAGTATCCAGGAAGCAGGATGCCAGTGCCTCAAGGAAAAAATGGTCCTTTTCGGCAATGTGTTCAGTACTGGGGGCTTGGCCCTTGTGTATTACCTCATACAAAAGACTTTTCCAGGGCTTCGTGTTACCAGTTGGCATTGGAGCAGGTGCATAGCCATCCCAAGGCACAGGGTGCTCTGGGCCCTCTTCTCAACATTCACTGTCTCAAACTCACCAACAAGCACAACTTCGTGGACATTGCTGATGCCAAGTTGAAGATTCCTAGCTCTGGATCCAAGTCAGAGAGCCGTCTCCACATCAGCTCATCCAGAAGTGCACCTTTCAGAGGTGGCACCTTGATGAGGTCTTCCTAGAGCCCAAGGATTGCCAGCAGATTCCTATGTTCAAGCTCAGTGGGGAGAATGGTGAAGAAGTGAAAAAGAAGTAGAGACGATCCGAAAGACCCAGTTTTCTTCTAGTCCGGCCTTCCCTCATCTCCACCATGTGCCCACCAGGGGTGATGGCTCGTCTGAATGACAGACACTCCCTTAAGCCAATTTTCCGGCCACCAGTGGGATGATTGTACATGCTGACATATGGTAATTTTGGTATAATTCTAACTTGGGCACAACGAATGCTATTGTCATTTTTAAACTGAATCAGAAAGAAACTCTTATTGTAAGATAATTTATGTGAAAGTTCTTTGTGTAAGAAAGCACATGATAAAAAGAATCAGAATTAAGAAAATGTTCTTTGATTTAAAAAACAAATAGGCCAGGCGCGGTGGCTCATGCCTGTAATCCCAGCACCTTGGGAGGCTGAGGTGGGTGGATCACCTGAGGTCAGGAGTTCAAGACCAACCTGGCCAACATGATGAAACCCCTTCTCTACAAAAATTAGCTAGGCATGATGGCAGGTGCCTGTAATCTCAGCTATTTGGGAGGCTGAGGCAGGAGAATCGCTTGAACCCAGGAGGCAGAAGTTGCAGTGAGCCAGATCACACCACTGCACTCCAGCCTGGGCGACAGAGAGCAACTCCATCTCACACACACACACAAATAAAATAAAATAAAATAAAAATAAAAAATAAATAAAATGGAGATCAAGACTAGCTACATAATTTGTAAAATGTACAAAATGAAAATGCAGGGCCCTTGTTTGAACAGTATTAAGAGTTTTGGGCCGGGCGCGGTGGCTCAAGCCTGTAATCCCAGCACTTTGGGAGGCCGAGACGGGCGGATCACGAGGTCAGGAGATCGAGACCATCCTGGCTAACACGGTGAAACCCCGTCTCTACTAAAAAATACAAAAAAACTAGCCGGGCGAGGTGGCGGGCGCCTGTAGTCCCAGCTACTCGGGAGGTTGAGGCAGGAGAATGGTGTAAACCTGGGAGGCAGAGCTTGCAGTGAGCTGAGATCTGGCCACTGTACCCCAGCCTGGGCAACAGAGCAAGACTCCGTCTCAAAAAAAAAAAAAAAAGTTTCCACCAATACAGTCGCTCACTCCTATAATCCTAGCACTTTGGGAGGCTGAGGTGGGTGGATCATTTGAGCTCAGGAGTTCGAGACCAGCCTGGGCAACATGGTGAAACCCTGTCTCTACTAAAAATACAAAAAATTAGCTGGGCGTGGTGACATGTGCCTGTAATCCCAACTAATCGGGAGGCTGAAACAGGAGAGTTGCTTGAACCCAGGAGGCGGAGGTTGCAGTGAACCAAGATCATGCTACTGCACTCAAGCCTGGG